CGCGGCGGCGACGCGGGCCTGGCGACGCGTTCCCACGCCCAGGACCCGTTATCTGGGCGGCAGGGAGGAGGGGAGGCCGCGCGGGGCAGTGGGAGGGAGAGGGGGTTCCCGAGTGCCCCCCACCTTGGCACGGGCACTCCGGCGGGTCCCGCGCCCGCTGGAAGCTGGGACAGCCGCCCGCTGCCGGGCCTGTCGCGGGCTACCCTGCGGGACCCCTCTCCCCGCGGCGCCCGCGGGCTCAGGTTCGCTCTGGGGACAGGATAAGGTGTCCGCGCGGCGGCCAGGCGCCTCCCGCCGGCCGGGGTTGGGGTGGGGGTACGCCAGGCAGCCTTGGCCTCCTTCCACCGAGCCCTCTCGCCGCCGCTCCCCCAGCCCCCGTCCTCGGCGAGGGAAGGGGTGTCCCGGCCGTGTGGGGATGCGTTTGGGACGTGCGGGGAACCTCCCCCCCCCCAACTTGGCGAGGGAGGGGCGGGGGGAGGCCGGGAAAGGAGCCCGAACTTACCGGAGTGTGCGGTGGCGGCCGCCAGGCAGAGGCTGAGGAGGCCGAGGCCGAGCGAGAGGGGGCGCGGGAGGGTCCGCCGAGCGCGACTGGAAGGCCCGCGAGCCGCCGCCGCCGCCGCCGCCGCCGCCGCCACGGTCCGAGCCTCCCTCCTCCCGCCCCAGCTCCGGGCGGCGGACGGGGCGGCGGGAGGCATGACGGGAAATTCCTGGGCACGGGCGGCCGAGTCCAAATATGAGCATGGGAGACGCGCGAGGGAGGATCGCGGAGCGCGGCGGCCGTGGACGGGGCTCGCTGCCCGGGCCTCGGCGGTCGCCAACTCCCGCCTCCTCCTCCTCCTCCCTCTCTGCTTCCCCGCCGCAGCCGCACGCCAAGGCTGCCAGCGACCGAGCGCCAGCGGGAGGTGCGATCCGCCGCCGCCGCCCGCCGCCGTGGGACCGCCCGGCCCGACGCTGGGCCCGGCAGGGAGCCGAGCACCCACCTTCGGAGGGCGGCAAAGAGACAGCACCGCGCCCCGAGCGGGGCAGCGGACCCCCGCCCCGCGGGAGCGAGTGTTGGCAACTTTGGTAGTCAGGGGTGAGAAGTTCTGGCACGAAATCCAAGTGTGGGAAAGTCAGACGAGAGCGGCCCGTCCGTTCCCTCGCGGCGTGAGCCCGTCGGTCCGAATGGTGCGGGTGCTCGGTAGAGCAGAGCACGGCCGCCTGAATCCCGGGAGCGCGGGGCGCGGGGCGGGCGGGGGGCGGGGGGGGGCGCAGCTGACCCAACGTGAAAATGCACGCGAGTGTGGGGAGCCACCACCTGAACGGCGGGGCTTTGTGTTTTCTTGACACTGCCAGGGGGCTCTTCCCGAACTTGTGGTTGGGCACCATATATGGAAGTGAGGGAAGGCTGGGTGTCTGAACAAGTTTTTCCAATAGCTGCTGACTGAACTTGACCACCGACCTTCCTCTCCACCTCCAGTCGGTTTGTTTGGGTTTTTGTGTGTCTCCCCAGCACATACGGTTCGTTATGTGTTTACGATAGACTGTCTAAAGCACAGCGCTGAAATTTATTCAGAAGGTGCTACTGCTGATGATCAGAGATGTGTCAACCCCCAGATGTTTAATGGCAATCCCAAGCCTGTATTTTTGCCTGACATTTCTTTGGCCCCAACTCCTTGAGTAACCAAGTCCAAATGACCCTTAGTTTTTCAAGACAACATAATTATGTCTTAATCACTATATTTTTTACTCAAACAATTGGGATAAGACCTGAAGATGACAGATGTTATGTGTTTACTTACGAATATATTAAGAAGCTAGAGAAATGATTTATCGATGCAAAACACTTAAGGGTAAATGTCAAACAGATTTAGAGTGTGGATTATTCTAACATGCACTGAAGTGATGATAATTTGCACACCACAGTTTGAAAATGCTTTATTTGAACATCAGAAACTTTTATTTCAAAACAAATTCATTTCTGGCAAAGTATTAAGGCCCATAAGCCAAAAACTAGTCCATTTGCAAATGGCTTTCCTTAAAACATCTGGTGCAGGGGAAAAAAATCACATCCCATAAATAATTTATGGCAATTTCACTTTTAACATACACAGTGATAATGGAACTAAGTATACTAATTGCAAAGAAATTAGACCACAATAAATAAGAGATGTTAAATCACCCATAACCTAATCAGTTAGGAACCTAGAACCTGGACAGCTGGAGGAAATACTTAGGAAACTTGAGTATTCTCTCACTTTCCTCTTTTTTTCAAATGTTGCATAAGCATCTGTTTTTCTTACTTCAAGAACACCTAGCACAGTTCTTTGCCCATAGTCTAAATGTTAAAAAAAAAAAAAAAAACATAAAACGAACACAGCGATTTTTAGACAGGAATATGGAAATTCTCTACATAGAGAAAAATTTTTCAAAGGATAATTCTGGCTATACTTTAATGTTTTTTTTTTTTTTTTTGGGGGGGGGTCCGGTCATGGGACCTGAACTCTAGGCCTGGGCGCTGTCCCTCAGCTCTTCAGCTCAAGGCTAGCGCTCTACCACTTGAGCCACAGCGCCACTTCCGGCTTTTTTCTCTTTGCTTATGTGGTGCTGAGGAATCGAACCCAGGGCCTCTGGCATGCAAGGCATGCACTCTTACCACTGAGCCACCTTCCCAGCCCCTCTGGCTATACTTTAAATATTAAATATTAAATGGAAAGTTATAAAGATGCTAAGTCATTACAACCTAATTCTTTTTTCATTTAAGTGGAGAGTTGATGAGCCATACAAGACTTCACCATCAACAGCTATTCTAAGGGTTTAAATTAAGCATCTTAAGGAATGAAGAAAAGAAAAAAGAGTGCATAGAAAGTGCTAGACACTGAGCAAGATGTCTACTTATGGTATCTCATTTGAATCCTTACAAATACCTTTGAGATTATTTTTATCCCTCTTATACAGATTATACAGGAGGAAGTGGCGCTGTAGCTCAAGCCTTGAGCTGAAGACCTCAGGGACAGTGCTGAGGCCCAGAGTTCAGGCCCCACGACCAACAAAAACAAAACAAAACAGATTATACAGGAGATTGAGGCATGGGTAAATTACATGAGATACTATTAGAATTCAAGCCTTATTGGAGAGACAGAGATAGAGACAGAATTTTCTGCAATATTAATCTGTTCTGAGAGACAGAATTTTCTGCAATATTAATCTGTTCTATTTTCTCAAGGTTAAAAAAACAATGGCATTCAAACATTGTATTCCCTGATTTTGGGTGGTTTTAAGTCACTGGCATGCACACAGGTTACTTCGAGTATTAAAGCATACCTGTGGAAATCTAAACTAGAAGTGTATCTGGCTTGTCCAGTCATGCTTTTTTGGGGTCTGGCAAGTGAAGCCTTGTGCTTTTCATAGCTGGGGGGTACAGAAAAGGTGTTGCTTTCAGACCACCATCCTGTGAATTTTGTAATTTAACCACTTACTAATTTAAGTGTATATCTCACAAACCTTTCTTTTTCATTATGACCTCAATAATACTCATTTTAGCTATTGTGGGTATTTTTTGTTTTGTCTAACAAAAGATGATGTAGAAGTTATTGTTTCTTATACCATCCCTCCATTCTCTCAGTGATGTGTTGGTAAACATTTAACAACCAGATCTGAACCCAGGAGTGACAGGATGACCTAATTTATGTGGTGTAAATATGCCTATCAACCTAATGTCTCTCAAGTCAGAATTGGGAAGAAAAAGATGAAGCAAACCACTCTCAGGGCAGGAGAGCCAGATTACTGCTACAACATGAAATGTGTTTAGAATTCTTTAGGACAAATTCAAGTTACACAAACAATTCAAGTTGCTCTGTCTCTCTGCTTGACTTTCCACTTTGGTTCCCACAACTGTCTTCATATGTCTTAAGATCAAATACTCCATGTGGGAAGAATCAAATAAATCTATCACCATTCTTGTTTGAGTCTATCTCAAACCACCACCTAATTGGCCAACCAGATGCTTGCTCTCCACTACTACTTCCATCTGCAACTAAGATGAGAGGGTCACATGCAACAGAACATAGCCAGCTCCGCTAAATAAAGCAGCAGGCTGTGATAGTTTTTGTGGGGTGAGCTTGGAGCAGTCCTTTTCAAAAGGAGGTATGTCAGGCATCCACGCCATAACCTCTCTTGCATGCTACTCTTGACTCCTTAATAAAATCACCCTGGCCACTGCACAAAGCTTCAAGATGCCCTCTCCACAAAACCCAAGGAATTGAATGGATGCCAACAACTCCAAGTGGAGAATGGACACATTAGGCCTAGATACTGTTCAGAAGCTCCAGCCAGAGGAAGAAAAGCTGTTAATGCTCATATTCAATGAGCTTTTTATCAAACCACTGTTTTCACTCCAAGTAGAGAACTGCACATTTGGCCTAGATACTGTTCAGAAACTGCAGCCAGAAAAAGAAACACTGTTAGTATTTATTCAGTGAACTTTTATCAAATATATTAGCTCCAAGTGGAGAATTGACACATTAGGCTAAGATACTATTTATTCAGAAGCCACACTAGAGCAAGAGACACTTTTAGAACTTACATTCAATGAATTTTTTAAATCAAATATCACTTTGTTTAAGCCAGTTGATGAGTTTAAAATCCATTGGGGAAAGCTGTGCACTGGTGGCTCAAGTCTATAATCCTAGCTATTCAGGAGGCTGAAATCTGAAGATCATGGTTCAAAGCCAGCCTAGGCAGAAAAGTCTGTGAGACTTTTATCTCCAATAAACTACTCAGAAAAAGCCAGAAGTAGCACTGTGACTCAAGTGGTAGAGTGAGCTTTTTCAAAAAAGCTCATGGACAGTACCCAGGACCTAAGTTCAAGCCTCAGCACACACACACACACACACACACACACAGAGCCCATTGGGAAGTGAGTGCTTTATTCGCTTACAAGTAATAATTTTTTATCTAATCATAATAAACTTAGGTATCAGAAGTATTTATCACTTTTAATCTTTATTAATCATTCTGGGTTATAGGAATTTGATCTATGAAACAAATACCAGAGTATCTATTATATCCAAATTTAATACAACATTCAATAAACATAAAAGTAAATATATTTCCCTAAAATTTGATTATACATGCAATATTTTCCCACCGAAATCTATATTTGATAAACCAGGTGATAATATATTTTTCAGTCCAGGTACTGTGGCTCATAGCTGTATTCTAACTATTCAGTGGCTGAGACCTAAGAATCGTGATTCAAAGCCAACCCATGCAAACAAATCTGATAGATGCCTATCTTCAAGTAGTTAGCAAAAAAGAAAAACTGCAAGTGCAGGTGTGGCTCAAATATTAGAGTGCCAACCATGAGCAAAAAGCCAAGCTTGCAACCTTAAGTTCAAGCCCTAGGACTGTCAAGTGCACACAGAAATTCTGCCTCATAACTAAGTAATACCATAAATGTATTGAGCTGTCCTTGAGAATATCAAAGAAAAGCAATTTGAGCAATTTTGGTTTTTCCATTTTATTAAAGCTTAGTGGAATACGAAAGTAGCTTCTTACATACCTAGAGTATCTTACTTTTATATAGATATGAGACAATATAATTTTTAAACATTTTTCATGTGATATTAAAACCATGTAGAATCCATAATGATGAATAAATACAGGAATAAATAGCTAATCTGAGAGTAAGATTCAACAAGTCCGAAGAATGTTTAGAGGTGTGTAGCTCTTAGCACATTGTCTGCTACCCACTCATTTCCACTGTTGCCCTGTTGTCTTCTAGGTAGGACCATCAATCACCTAAACCACAGTTAGAAGAAATACATCATGTGAAATTAAATGCTAAGATGTCTGTGACTAAAATATACCAGCATTATCTATTACAAAGACATTCAGTAACATTTTAATAACACAAGTCTGTCTGTACACAAATCATTTTCAAGATTTACTGTTTTCCACTGGAATGCATAATTGGTCCACTCCAGTCAGGCTAAGACTGTTACTAACACTACTCTAGTTCCAAGGAAGGTAATTTTGAAAATTGTCATGCTTGAGATCTGATCTCAGTGTTACACTGAAAAAAAAACTGGTATTTTAAGCTTTTTCCCGTATTCAGTTGCCCTCCTATTTTTAGTAAACCAGACCAGCCTTGAACTCTGTGTGTGTGTGTGTGTGTGTGTGTGTGTGTGTGTGTGTGTGTGTGTGTGTGTGTGTGTGTGTGTGTGTGTGTGTGTGTGTGTGTGTGTGTGTGTGTGTGTGTGTGTGTGTGACTTCCTAGGTGGGTGCTCTCAGACACTTTTGCTCTTTAATTCAGGGACTCTTGCTTTCGTCTGGGCCAGCCTTGAACTGGGATTCTCCTATCTCTGACTACCTGAGATTGCAGAATGTTCCACTATGACTAGTTTGTTCTTTGAGATGGGCTCCAGCTTTTTCCCATGGCTGGAATTGAACTGTGAACCTCCTGTCTGCCCTCTGAGTAGTTGGACCTTGAACTCTTGATGTGCTTGCCTTCACTCCCCAAATGCTGGGATTCTAAGTATGTGCTTCCAGACCTGGCAATATTTACTTTTTTAAAACAAAAGCACTGAAAAGGAAGAAGTTTTAGACAAAGCAGTTGGAGAAAACAATAAAATTATTTAGAAGAGATGGGAAATAAAGTATACTATTTCAAGTCAAATACAAAAAAGAGAATATATTAGTTCCAAAAGAACAAAACGAACAGAATAGTTTCATAAACAGTTAATAGTGAAGAACAACTTAGAGAAATAAAAGAATAGAACTTCTGGGCACCAACAATGTACCTATCCAATATAACTAAACCACCCATTATTAGGATGTTTATTGTAGGCTTTTGGTAAATACCTTTTATCAGAGTCAGCAACTACAAGTCCTAGTTTGCTAAGAATTGTGAAAAATGTATTTTTTATTTTAGCAGATGCTTTTACTGCTTCTGAAATTATAATATTATTTATTTCTTCAATTTTATATGACAAATTATATTGACTTTCTGATATCAAAGAATCCAGTATTCCTAGAATCCATAGAATCTGGTCCCTTTCTATTTGATTCTTGCATTAAAGTCATGTTAGAAAGGAGGGTAGACCTTTTTCTACTTACTGAAGTAGGGAAGATTTAAAAAGGAAAAGCTCAGAAGCTGATATATTTTCAGTTCTCTCCATGTGAGCCCTGTGAAGAACCACAAAGGGGAACAGCAAAAGAAGCAAAAATAGACCCTACTGCCAAGTGGCCTCATAGACCAGATTAGAAATAGTAACCATGATATTATAGAGCAGGCATTTTACAGTACTTCATTTAATCTTGTCATCAACACACATTATGGTTTTTAAAATGAAGAAACTCATTCTTAGTCTTTAAATAAGTCAATTAAAGTTATATAACTTTAAATCACATAAGATCATAGGATCGCTATATATCAAAACTGAAACACAAGCACTGCTCTGACTCCCTAGGCTGAGCTCTTAACTTCATCTCTCTCCTTTGTCTCTATCCTCTCAAAGCAAGAATCTAAGGATGTTTTGGAATACTGTCATATACCTGCTAACACTAACAACTCATGAATCTCTGGCCAAAACAAACATGGCCATTTTCCAAAGTCCCCAAATGATAAAACTCTAAAGTCTAAGCTTCGTTACCAAAGGTTGGCAGTGATTCAAAATAAACTTAGAGAGACAGACTTTAAAACAGAGTGAAGACAATTCTAATTAAGCTAAATATTTAGATGTCTGTCATAAAGTAAATATTCAATCCAATAAGTAGGTGTCTACTGCTAAATTTTGGAATAGTTCCTTCAATTTTATGTTTAAAATACGCTTCATTCCTACTAAACACTATCCTTTTAACCACTCAGATATACATCTTAAAATCAATAGTGTCTTAAACATGTAGTCTAAGTTACAAAAATAAACTGTGCCTGTACTAAGGCCAATTTCTGCCAGTTTCCAGTGGGGAACAACCAACTGTGAACACTTGAAATCATTTTTTGTTTTTGCTTTTAGCATTTTGGACAATGCTGGAATTGGGAATTGAAATCATAGCCTAAAATGAAGACCAGCTTCTTTCTCTTGATCTCTTTTTAGAAACACCCTGGCTCTGAGACTATCCAAGCTTCATTCCAGAGCCCTCTGTTAAATCCACGTCTTGAGAATCATTTTTCATTTTCTCAGGTGCCAGAGGAAATAACATTGCCTCTTCCAAGTTACAGTATCCTACATGAAATAAATTTGAAATACTGTATACACAATTGTAAGTATCACACAGACACTATTTTTCATGTCTTAAATATTCTTCAGACATATTTTAATGATCTCCCAGGATTCCATGATAATCCATTGTTACTCTCATATTTATAGATGTAGGTTGCTCCTAATTTATCACAATATATAGCCACAGTAAACATCATTTTCATTACCTTCATGTCATCTCTGATCATTTCTTCAGAACAAATTCCTAAAAATTAAAAAATAATTTTAAGTGGTATGAATAGTAAAACATTTTTATTCAGTTGGTAAATTGATCTGTGTATGTTTATTCCATCACACAATGGTTAGTAATACTTAAGTCAAAGGAACCAGTTTAATATGCAAACACACTTTCTGAATTGATTCATTAGCTGAAATGTTTCACAAATTTACTGGCCATTTGCAGCTCTTCGTTTGTTAACCAAGTCCTGATATCATTTGTCTTTTTATGTTAGAATATTTTTAGACTATTATTGCATGCTAATATTTCCCATTCCTTGTATTTTAACTTATTCTCAGGGTTTGTGCATATAAGGATAATTTTTAGTGTAATACCACTAAACATGTAATATTTTTCCTACAGTTTGCTTTTGTGGTTAGCTTCATCTAAAACACTTTCCTCTTTCTTTTAGTTATTTTACCATTATTTCTGAACTCTTCATTACTCCTAGAACTTATCTAGTTAAGTGCAGGAGAAAATTAATAAGAAACTGACATAAAGTCTAATATGAAAATAGAATGTGAAGTGAATTCAAAGAATCAGGAAAAAAAAGTCAGCTCTGCCTCTTCATCCCTGCTAGAATCTATTCTTGTCCGTAAACCAAATGACTGCATAATGATAATCACCTTTTCATTGTTCCCAGTTAATTGCTTAGAAACAGTATTTCCCAACCTTTAAAAAACATTATTGGTCCTCAGGGAAAGGATAATTGTAGTGTGTGGTTAAATGGAGGAAGTGATTTATAGATGGCAGGTGACTAAACCTTGAGTTCCACTATCCCAAGTCATGCTGCCTCTCTAAAAGCTAGTATATATTACCATGTCTGTAACCCACTCATGACATCAGTTGGGAGGTTTCATTCTCTGCTGTTGTGCTGCTAGGGTTCTAAAAATCATGTAGAGGAACCTGTGTCTGTCTAATAAAATGAGCCCTGAAGAAAATAATAAGCATCCAAGTTGGGTGCTGGTAGTTCATACTTGTAATCCTTCCGGCTTTTTTCTATTTTTTTTTGCTTATGTGGTGCTGAGGAATCGAACCCAGGGCCTCATGCATGCAAGGCAAGCGCTCTACCACTGAACCACCTTCCCAGCCCCCATACTTATAATCCTAACTACTCAGAAGACTGACATCTGTCAGGATTCAAAGCCAGGCTGAGTAGGAATATCTGTGAAATTCTCATCTCCAATTAACCACCAAAATGCTGGAAGTGAACCTGTGGCTTACTTAAATAGTAGAATACCAGCCTTGTGTGAAAAAGCTAAAAGACAGTCCCAAGCTCCAGTACTGGCACCCTCCCTGCCCCCCAAACACAATCTATCCACACACCTCCAATACACCCCCACACACAAATAATAAGAAACCATCCACCTGTTCCTTTGTTTTATGGTGTGCCCTTATAAGAATATAGAAGTTGATGAATCCAGCTGAATGTGTTGTTATTGGAACATATAAAACTTTTGCATCAGATAACTTCTCTCAGTCAAATTTTTATGAGGAAAATGAGTGATTCCCATACTGCAGAAATACCATGTCATTAAAATCCACTATGTTACTGTAAGTGGAAGGATCTGGGCCTCTTCTAGGGAGACAGGAATCACAGGTCCTAGAACAAATAACATCATAGCTCTAATATTACATAGTCTTTAAGATGTTTTTACTTTCATTGATTCATTTTTCCCACTAATTTTATAAGGCACTTTTATTTAACTCTTGTATACCAGTATCTTTATAATTCAAGTATTTATTAACTATGTTATTTCACTTATGATGTTGATTCACAGGAAATATTCCTTTAAATAAAAGGGAAGGGGGAGTTGCCAAGAGCTAGTGGTTGATGCCTGTAATACTACTCAGGAGGCTGAGATCTGAGGATTGCAGTTCAAAGCTAGCTCACGCAAGAAGGTTCATGAGTCTCGCATCTCAATAAACTACTCAGGAAAGGCCAGAAGTAGCACTGTGGCTCAAGTGGTAAAGTGCTTAGCTTTGAACTCATGGAAGAAGCTCAGAGATGAGCACTCAGGCCCTGAGTTCAAGCCCCAGGACCCATAAAATACAAAGGAGGTGGGGAGGAATGTACTCAAGAATCCAATGTGTATGCTACAAAATTAAGAAGAGTGATGGAAAAGGGTGGATAGGGGAAGGATAGGTAAGAATGTTGAAAGGGATGACACTGATCAAGATATATTGTATTCATAAACTGCCTTGGTTAAATGGAAATTCCTTTGTACAACTTCTTAAATAAAAAAATTAAGCACTCTTCAAAAAGTCAGTGTCTCATTGAATAGTATCTGCTGCACAGATAATACACTGTCCATTGTCAAAATGTATGTCAATGAGTTGCTAATTGTCAGTCAAAAATACCAGGTAAGTACAATGAAAATCCACTACAAAGTAAACTTGCAAGCCTCTCAAAATGCAGAGGATTTCATGAAGTCAAGAAAAGTAACAGGAGGGGCTGGGAAGGTGGCTCAGTGGTAGAGCGCTTTCCTTGCATGCATGAGGCCCTGGGTTCAATTCCTCAGCACCACATAAGCAGAAAAAAAAAAGCCAGAAGTGGTGCTGTGGCTCAAGTGGTAGAGCGCTAGCCTTGAGCTGAAGAGCTGAGGGACAGTGCCCAGGCCCAGAGTTCAGGCCCCAGGAACCGGACCCCCCCCAAAAAATTAAATAAAGTAACAGGAAACTGCTGAAATCTTGAGCAGTGCCAGAGAGTTCCTGGCCCAGTCCAGTTTCTGAAGGAAAGTTGACAAGAACAAAAAGATGTTGTGCATAAACGAAAGATATGAGTAGAAAGACCCTTACAAAAACAGATGAAATCTGGGGTCATTTTGTAAAACTGAGGCAGAGTGAAAAATGACTTGGGAATTATCATTTCATACTTTCAATAAATTGTCAAAAAACTCTGAAATTTAATGTATTTATCATGTAACTTTTGTTATATCTGAAATTTTGTAATTTTGCAATTGCTAGTCAAACATGTTAAAAGTGAAAAGTGAAACTATGTATGAGGAAAATGTGATTCCTGTTTCAAGGCATTTATTCTCCCATTGGCTACAGTTTTTAACTTTATTGTTAACACATTTTTGTTAATTTTTGCAGAGATTTAATTTGCTTTAGTATCTGATAGGGTCAGCCTTTCCTTACTTATCACTTTAAATTTTAAAATACCTTTCTTGTTTTCTTAGTTGATATCCTAAAATTCATTTATGATTCTTAGAAATGATATCTATTGGGACTTTCATTAGAATTTCATTAAGCCTTTTGATAAAGGAAAGAGCACATTCTATAAACAATATGTTCATTCTAACAGGGAAAACTAATATATCCTTCTATTTTTTTCCCTTGAACTATCCTGAGTTTGCCTCACATAGGTGCTGCCATTTTTCTTGCTGAATTGATTTATCTTTGCACCTGTCTATCAAATCACTATCCAAAACACAGTGTCCCTGTTGAACCCTTAGACACCAATAACCAGAAATATTATTGCTTTGTTGTTTATTTTAACAGTAAGAATGATTTTTGAAGAGAGGGGTAATCAAGAATTATATCATAAAACTTATTTCCAGAATAGAGGCACAAAACATCTTAAATTTCTAATTATAAAACACCCTTCACAATAGATTAAGTATGAAAAATATCTTTTTTATATGAATTACTGATCTGGTAATAATAGAAAGCAATCCTGAGGTCAGAAAAAACACAAAAGAACAAAGCAATGGCATCCATGTGGGGAAGGTTGGCCCAAACACCTCTCTTGATCCCTAAGCTCACAACTGCATGGAAATGTTCCTAAGAACAGGCCATATTCTATAAGACAACTCAACCCTTAACAGATTTTAAAGGTTGGAATCAAACAGAGGATGTACTCAAACCATACAGGATGAAATTTAAAATTAGTAACAGAGAAATTGAGGAAATTCACAAATAGTATGAAAATGAAACGATACATTCCTAAGTACTAAAAAAATGTGATTATAAGGGAAACTAGAATGCACTGAGATGACAAAATGGGAGAAACAATATAGCACAACTTACAAAATGTAGCTCTAGCAATGAATAGAGGGAAATGCATGGCACTAAAAGTCTGTATTTAAACAAGTCTGAGTATGGTAGCTTGTAACTGTAGTCCCAGTTACTCAAGAAATGGAGGTCAGGTAGTTTGCTTGAAGCCAGCTCAAGCAAAAACAAAAGTTATGAGATCTTGTCTCAACAAAAGAGCCAGGCATGCAGGCATGGTTGTATACACTTTCAATCCCAGCTATCTGGGGGGCCATAGACAATTATGGTCCAAGACCAGCCCAGACAAACTTAAGACCTCCTGTCCCCTGGGGAGGGGGGAAACCTGAATAAAAAAAAAACAACAACTAGGGGCTGGGAAGTTGGCTCAGTGGTAGAGCACTTGCCTTGCATGCCTGACGCCCTGGGTTGATTCCTCAGCACCACATAAGAAAAAAGCTGGAAGTGGTGCTAGGCTCAAGTGGTAGAGCGCTAGCTAGCCTTGAGCTGAAGAGCTGAGGGACAATGCCCAGGCCCAGAGTTCAGGCCTCACGACCGGACCCAAAAAACAAACAAGCAAAAAAAACTAAAACACCCAACTAACAAAAACAAAAGGCAAAGAAGTCTAGGGCTTTGCTCAAATAACAGACTGCCTACCTAGCACACCTAAGTTCCAAGTTCAACCCCCAGTACAAAAACAAAAAATAAAAAAATCAACAATAGAAACTTATACTTTAAGACATTAAAAACTGAAACAAGGGCTGGGAAGGTGGCTCAGTGGTAGAGCGCTTGCCTTGCATGCCTGAGGCCCTGAGTTCGATTCCTCAGCACCACATAAGTAAAAAGAAAAAAGCCGGAAGTGGCACTGTGGCTCAAGTGGTAGAGTGCTAGCCTTAAGCTGAAGAGCTGAGGGACAGCGCCCAGGCCCAGAGTTCAAGCCCCATGACCAGACCCAAAAAACAACAACAACAACAACAACAAAAAAACTGAAATAAACACTAAACCCAAAGTAGAAGGGAACTAATAGCTAAAGTGGAAATTAATGACATGGAGAAAAATTTAAAAATCAACAAAACCAAAATTGGTCCTCAACAAGCTTAACAGACCAGGAAAAGCCTATTAAAACTAGAAATTGGGGGGGGGGGGGGGGAAAGAGGGGACATTACTGACGACATTATTATACACCAAAAGAATTACAGTTGGGTAACCATAAATCCATTAAACAGAGGAAATGTGGAAATTTCTAATAAGTGGGCTAAAGACTTAAAGAGAGACTTCTCTGAAGAGGAAATAAGAATGGCCAATAGACACAAGAAGAAATGCTCAACTTCTCTAGCCATAAAAGAAATGCAAATCAAGACAACACTGAGATTCCACCTCACCCCAGCTAGAATACCTATAATCAAGAAATCTAGTAACAACATATGCTGGAGGGGATGTGGCCAAAAGGGAAACCCTACTGCATTGTTGGTGGGAGTGTAAACTTGTTCAACCACTTTGGAAAGGAGAATGGAGGCTCCTCAAAAGACTCCACATAGAGCTCCACCTATGACCCAGCAATCCCTCTTTTGGGCTTTTACCCAAAGGATCACAAAGGTCAGTCATACCAAAGCTACCAGCACAACCATGTTTATTGCAGTATTATTCACCATAGCTTAGATATGGAACCAACCCAGATGCTGCTCAGTTGATGAATGGATCAAGAAAATGTGGTGTATGGGGCTGGGGGTTTAGCCCAGCGGAAGGGCGCCCAGCGGAAGGGCGCCCTCCGGTGCGCGCAAAGCCCTGGGTTCGGTCCTCAGCCCCGGGGAAAAAAAAGAAAATGTGGTGTGTGTATATATATTCCATTGTATATGTATATATATACATGTATATGTGTATATACATGTATATACACGTATATATATACATGCATACATGTATATACATATACATGTATGTGTGTATATATACATACATATGTATGTATATATACATATATACATACATACATACACAATGGAATTCTATGCCTCCATCAGAAAGAATGACACCGCTCCATTTGTTAGGAAATGGAAAGACTTTGAAAAAATTACATTAAGTGTAGTAAACCAGGCCCAAAGAAACATAGGTCCTATGGTTTCCCTTATTTGAAAAAAATCAGTGTATGTCTAGGACAAGCAGAAAAGCTCAAAAGCTAGATACATAGACCATATAAGATGATGTTAAGTGAAATGAACCCCAAGATAGGGACACAAGAGGTTTATCTTTCTTGCTGTGTTTTTAATGTACTTATAATGTACTATGTGGTTTTTTTTGTTTGTTTCTTTTGTATGGTCTTCCCCCATGGTATAACCCATTTTCACAATTCCAGTGCCCTGCGTCTTGCATATACATTTTTCTTATTTGAGGAAGGGAAGGGAAATAACAAAATGTTGAAATAAGGATACAGGTTGACCCACTGTAACAATGAGATGTACAAGACACTATGTTGAAAATAAACTTTATAATTTCGGGGGTGGGGATGGGGGTGGTTAGGAGGAGTTGGGGAGGGAAGGGATGTTAGGGAAAGAACAAAGGAGGGGGTAACAATGCTCAATAGGAAGTGGACTCATTACCTTGTTACCCTGTAATTCCTCTGTACAGTATCTAATAAAAAATATTAAAAAAAATAAGGTAGCCACTGGGCATGGCTATTAAATAAACCAGTCAGTACATCTGAAGAACTGCAGTTTCAATCTGGTTTAGTTTGAATTACAAAATAAATTCCATTATATTGTGACTTCTTTCAATAATTTATAAAACCTAAATATAGATCGAGTAGCTTTAGTTTGGATATTACAGGACATTGTTGGATAAAGGGTTAAGAGGGATTCTGAGAAGAATTTCTACTCTAAAATATGAGATTATATAATTTTTTTTAGCGTGTGAATTTTCTATACTGGTCAGAAATTTTCTTGGTTTGTAGAAAAAAAGAGATGCTGATATAGAAGATATATAGATATAGAAGCCTATGATTCTATAGGCATCTCAAACTCAATATTACCAAAACCCATCCTTTTTTTTTTTTTTTTGTCGGACATAGGGCTTGAACTCTGGGCCTGGGCACTGTCCCTCAGCTCTTCAGCTCAAGGCGAGTGCTCTACCCCTTGAGCTACAGCGCCACTTCCGGTTTTCTGGTGGTTTATTGGAGATAGGAGTCTCACAGACTTTCCTGCCCGGGCTGGCTTTGAACTGCGATCCTCAGATCTCAGCCTTCTGAGTAGCTAGGATTACAGGTGTGAGCCACCAGCGCCCGGCTCCAAAACCCATCCTTATCATCTTTCTTCTTCTCTAACTGGTCAGAAGTTATTTCCCACATTAGAACACTAGATATTAATTCCTCCTTTAATATCTGATTATCAAATTTTTCCAATTTTAACTCATTTAAATCTATTCTTTGAGGAACTTTTTTGTGGGTGTGAAGTTAGGAGTTTCATACTTGTCAGGTTTAATTGCTCTACCACTGAGCCACACCTCCAGCCTCTCCAATACTTTTGGCAGTATTGAGGTTTGAACTCTGCATTTCCTGCTTCCTAGTCAGGTACTCTGACACCTCTAGCCATTTTTGCTGTGTTTATTTCTGAGATAAGGGCTTTTTGCCCAAGGTCAGTCTGGACCATGATCTGCCTCACCTATTTTACACTTCCAGCCATAACAAGGATGATAGGAATGTCTCATCACACAGCTTTTTCTGTTGAGATGGGGTCTTGCAAATATTGTGCATGTGTGTGTGTGTGTGTATTTTTTTTTTGAGGGGGAAGGGACCCAGCTTGGCTTGGAACTTTGATCCTCTTGAAATCAGGCTCCTGAGTAACTCAGGAAACAAATGTGCACCTCCATACTGTTATTGGTTGAGATAGGGTCTTGTGAATTTTTTAATTAAGCTGATCTCAAACCCTGATCCTTCTGATCTCAACCTCTTAAGTACATAGTATTATAGACACCTGTTCTAATTTTTCCCAATAAATCATAATTTATCACTTGAACACTTTAAAAGCCAACATACAAACTTTGTAATTAAAGTGAACATACAGATACCTATGAGACAAACTAATATTGTTTCTTTCCTACTTCTACTTATTGCCTTGAACTTAATTATTCAGCCCCAATTGCTAAGAGTTTACACATGCAGGATGAGCATTGCTTCTTCTCAACAGTGTTTCTCCCATCCTCGCTAGGCCTAGATTACCCTCTTTCAAATTTCATAAATGTGTTACGGTCACTAATGTCTATGTATGGGGGAAAAAAAGTCAATCTAAGTTAATCTAAGTAAATAGGTCCTACTGGTTTTAAAATCTAAGATCAGCACAATAAATCTACCCTGGGAGGTCCCTAATGGATGTTCTCAGATACAGAAACCTTTTCCAGACATGAGGCTTCCTCAATGGGACTTAAGGGTAAACAGAATGAGCATCCTGGATGAACACTGAGTGTCTTCAAATCACAATTTCTAGTTCCTAATCATTCTTAATTAAGTACCTGTTCTTGAGCATCCTTCCCAAAAGAATGGCTTTCAAATTCTGCTTGATTTAGCGTCCTCTGAAGAATCATCTGGAAGAAGTGACTTGCCGAGATAGTTCTAGGAGAAAAGGGTGAAGAAGCCATGTGGATGACCTATAATAATCTGATGGTACTAAGAGCAAACAGTGAGAACTGTAAGGCTTATCTTAATTTTAAAAAAGGTACTTACTACCGGGCATGTGAAACTTTTAAATTTTGCTCAGACTGTGAAAGCCTTGAAGACTGGAATATGTGTTTATCTTTTATCCCTAACATACAACAATGCCCCTATGTAGCCTAGTGGTACCCAAAATAGCTAGCCTAACAACTGTTTTTATTGGTCTATGATCAAATAAAGTTTATGCAAAAATCGCTTCCTTTGAGAATGCCTTTGAGAAAGTCTGTATTTAACCTAAACAGTATTTAGTGATATAGCTGACTTATATTCTTGTCCCACTTTGATCCAAATACTTGAAAGTTGGATGAAGGTATTTTCATAAAGAAAAAGTAAGATGTTGAAAAACGATGGTTAAAATTAACATTAGGGTCTCCCATCTTTATAAGCACATTAGGTATTCATAGATTCCCAAATAAAAGAGAGTTAAAGGCATGTAGTTTGGTAAGAAAAAAATAGACACAAGGTATTTAAAAAGTGTTTTAAAAGACGCATTAAAAAAAACCTTAATAATTTTTAATTAGAATATTTTTCTTTTTTTTTTTTAAAACAGGACATGTAACAGATTACATCAAACTTCAAAGCTTCTCAAATGTCTAATTATTATACACATTCCCAACTGTCTTGCAGGGAGGAATCTTGGTCGGTTTAACAGTTCCAGGTAAAATAAGCTGCATAATAGTACATATTACAATAATAAATGTACAATGTTTACATAAAATATTGTTTAGAAGCAAGAAAAAGATGCATTTGCATCAAAAGGCGACCTGTTAAAATGCCACTATTTTTACATTCATTCTTGCAACAGGTTACAAGATGGGGTCACTAAGCGCAGATAAATCATTAGGATGCACATAAGATACAGAAAAATTGGTTACTTTATATATTATATATATATTTATATTTTCACACGTTAGAATCTGAGACATAAACTGAGAATTTAAAATTTATTCTCTTCAGATAACAACTCATTTTTTATTCTTCATAAACATGGTGCCCACAAAAGCACATAGGTAAGGCACAATAGGGTTTTCTGTTACAGAATAGTGTGCATCATGTTTACTTAACCAGAAAACGTGCATTATCTGTGCAAGTTCATGCTGCAAATCCAACACACATACAATGAAACAAAAGAAAATTCAACTTTAAACAAAACTTAATATAATTCCAGCTGCTTCACATATTCATTTGGACTGACATTGATATATCAACAGTTTATTTAAAAAGCCAATTAATGATTAGATTACAAGTAAACCTTGCTCAGAAACTACTTTAATATGAAATCATAAACAGTCATAAAGTAACTTTATGGAAACAAATTAAATACTGAGGCACAAACCAACTGTCATTCCTGCATTTACAATACTGCAAACTTTCAAGACTCAAAATTTCAGGTATAAGTTGCCTAATTCATTTTGCTGTAACAATGTGCCCTGATTTCAACTTGTTGTATAATAGGGACATTAACATTTCATTAAATTATAGATTGGGAAAATGATTTAACTCCGAGTATCATGTCACAGCCCTAGTATTTATAATAAATACAGCTTTCACAAACTATTTTTCAGTATCTGCCAATTATTCTTTATTGCTCACATAAGTTTGAATCCACACAACTGGTATCAGAACTTTTCACCCCAAATCATACTCAAACATTTTGATACAAAATCTATAAAAGATATTTTAAACTTGTATCTAATACTTCCATGTGTTTGGCTGTTTGATCTGTGATAGTACAGCCAAATGTACACATTTATGTGTGCATATACATATATCTGTTTATATGTATATACACGCACATCTATATACATACACAAATATACACATACATATATATGTACACAAATTAGATTATGAATAAAATAGGGAGCTTATTTTACTGCTTATGCAGACAATCTCATAAAACAAGACTTGCACCTCCATCAGCATTTATACATATATACAAAAGGCAGTTAAGTACATGTACATCCCCTTAAATGTATACGGAGCCTAAAACCAAATAAATTTTCCCATATTCCAGCTGGAGCAAATCAATCTTACAAGCAATAGAAACCTAAGGTTGAATTGGGAAATTAACAGGTCTACCACATTAGCCTTCAAGGAACTATGTAGGTGACTGCATACAAATTCAAATGAGTTTATAGGAAATTATGGAAATATAAAAAAGCCTCTTCACCATGCTTCTGTGTGGTTATCTAAACACTTTTTTGGTGCAAATATAACCACCGTATCTGAAAATGCTTAATAAAGTCAGTGTTCCTCATGCAAAACTTTAAATGCTCTGGCTTAACTGAGTTCCTAAAACTGAATGAAACAGTTATTCTACCTACTTAGCATTACTGACTCACTGCTAAATCCCTTTGGAACCTTGAGATTCTGGAGCTTTCAAACAGAGCTGTATTCTGCAATAGAAATATTACATACAAAAAGCACTTAAAAAGGAAGACAAGAAGCCAAACAGGAATTTTCCTATTGTAAATAATAGTCCTAGGAGTGAAGAAAGTCTTTTCAGGAACCTCCTTGAGAATTGGCTAGGCCAGTCCGAAGGCGAAGATGAGACATAGAGTTCATATGTTTATTTGATGGCTTCAAGGGAGTGTTGCAAGTAAGAGCTTGGGGAAAGCGATGGTGATATCTATCTAGTCGTAAGTATTTTACTGTAACCAATTTCCCTGTTGTAAGATAAAAATAATACTTTAGACCTGTAAAAATGTGTAGTAGCTGAAGAATATTAACATGATAAAAACACATGAACATAAAATATGAAGTCATCTAAAATTTACTCAATAAGTGACAACCCAAATTCCAACTTAAAATCTGGTATCATTTAATATGAAACTATAATTATTTTTTCAAAATCTTTGTAATACTCAAATTTCTTACCATCAAACCAAGAGCCATGCAATGCCTTAAAAGCCTTTCCAGCATATTCTGGAGATAGACATTTAACATATACACAGCCCTGTGGTATTAAAAAGAAAGAAAAGTAATTTAGTTTAATAGCAACAAATATAAAATGTGGAGTTCAATACTAGAAGTTACTTACCTCTCGTGAATTTTTGTCTACTGCAATGTGAACAATGCCATCATTATCACTGCATTTTTCTAAAATTGCTTCTTGAATTGCCAAGTGCCACTGATCCCCTATTTCCCTAAAATTAAGAAACAATAATCAACAATATTCTCACAGTCTTCACTAACTTAAGTCAAAGAACAACAAAAAGTCCAAGTCATTTTAATGTTTACAATCCTGTGTAAGTAATTACAATTTTTTTAATTTTTTTATTTTTTTCTATACAGATTAATGTTATCTCATTAACACCAGAAAAGTTGAAGTTTTCTTAATTTTGAATATTTCCAAATTTTTAAACTTAACATAATTCTTAGTATGCATTATATGTACTTTGAACTTTTTTTTAAAAAATGAAAGAGTAATACAAGACAGCTTGTCCCTATTATAAGAACTTTTAGGATTTTCTGTTATAATGCATGACTGTGTGACTTGTGAAACCATAGGTGGTAGGAAAGAAGGAAACATAACCGCGCCTTAAATTGTAAATCTTCCTCTAATAAAAAACTGTACACTATTATTATTTCTTAATTACTAAGGGTGGGGGTAAAACTCCTTACAAAAATGTATCACCGGGCTGGGAATGTGGCTTAGTGATAGAGTACTTGCCTAGAATAAATGAAGCCCTGGGTTCGATTCCTCAGTACCACATAAACAGAAAAAGCCAGAAGTAGCACTGTGGCTCAAATGGTATGTGTGTGGTAATTATATAATCAGGAAAGTTCAACTATTACATGGCCATAAACAGTTATAACTTGAGAGGAAAATCTGTACCTTTTTATAAGGAATTTTTTCTTTGTACAATTCAAGACTGGAAACTTTATATAAGCACATATTACCATATATATTATCTACACAGGTAAAAGTATTGGCAGTTTACACTTAGTAAAAGGTATCCATTGTCATGAATTTGCCTCAAGCATTTATCTATATTGTGAGGATTCACAGTAATTTAGGAAAGTGTTACAAATTATCATATATCTGTGCTTTTGAGTCAAATACTTGCTTAGAAGTTAATAAAAGATAAAAGAAGAGCATAATATTCCTATAGTTAAATAAATAAGAAAGCCAAATTTTGAATTACAGACATCATTACAAGAATACTATGTACTTTTCACTCAACTCTTGCAACGAAAAATTGTATGTATGCTTGATCATAATACTTACATAACTGGATCAAACATATTTCGAATCTTTAAACATGGTGTCAAACTATTTGGTGGTGAATTTCTTCTATCTAAATGAAATGCTACAAAAAACAAATTCATTTTATTACTTCACAAGGCTCTACTTTGTGAAAAGATAATCAGACATTTAGCTCATTCAAAAAATATTCATTATATACTTTCACTATAAGTCCAGAACTCTATCAGAAATGTTAATGAATTATGACAATCATTAACATCGTAATTTATAGTTCTGTTGGAGATCAATGATAAACAGTATCAAGCCAAGGCATTATAATTGTGATTAGCTTTAAGAAATAAAAGTATTGATAATTGTAAAATACCATTTTGTCTAAGACTATCAGATAAGCTTTCTCCTAACAAGGTGAATTTTATGTTTGGAACTCAACTTAAATTAAAATTAGTAGGGAGAAGAGAAGGGTAAAGGAAATTTCAAGTAATGATGCTAAGTATGTACACAACCCTTGTGATAAGAAGGAGGTTGGTTCAATCAACTGACTAAAAGCTAGTCAATGTGGCTTAAGTTGGAAAATAAAGATAAATCTGGAGAGAGATGTTAGATAATATAGAATCATGTAGGCCAACACTGTCATGTAAGTAACAGAAAACCATTTAAGTGTTGTAAAAAGAAGACATGATGAGCCGGGCGCTGGTGGCTTATTTCTATAATCCTAGCTACTACAGAGGCTGCGCAGTTCAAAGCCAGCCTGGGCAGGAAAGTCTGTGACTCTTATCTCCAATAAACCACCAGAAAAAGCAAAAGTGGCACTGTAGCTAGAGTGGTACAGTGCTAGCCTTGAGCTGAAGAGCTGAACGACAGTGCCCAGGCCCAGAGTTCAAGCCCCACGACTGACCAAAGAAAAAAAAAAAGAGGAGACATGATGAGACCTTTTAAAATTATACTTACAATTAAAAAAATAAATTGTTAAGAGGAGAGCCAATTTGGTAGATGCAAAGACGAACTGAAGACCAGTTAGGTTATTAAAGCTGTCTAGAAGCAAAGCACAGAGATGGAGAACACAAATCCACAGTGCAGATTAAAAGTGGATGGAAAACTGGGTGCTGGTAACCCATTCCTATAATCTTAACTACTCAAGAGCCTGAGATCTGAAGATCACGGTTCAAAGTTGCCCCAGGCAGGAAAGTCCATGAGACTGTTATCTCCAATTAACTACCAGAAAACTAGAAGTGGCACTGTGGTTCAAATAGAGCACAAGCCTTGAGCAAAAAGCTCAGGGACAGCTTTCCAGGCCCTGAGTTCAAGCCCCACAACTGATTTTTTTTAAAAAAGGTAGATGGAATCAAGACATATTAAGAGCTTGACACTTGAATGAAGATAAGGAAGAGATTAAGGATGACTCCTGAGTTTATATTAGAGAGCTATTAGCTAGAGGAAGAATATGGGAGATATTTTGGGAAGAGATAAGGAATTTATACTCTTGTTAAATTTATGGTGGTCATCTCTTACGAAAGATGCATTCTCAGCTCATTTGAAAACCAGTCCACTGAATAAAATTTTAGATATAAATTTGAATTAATGTACATATTATAAATGAAGTCACAGCATGATATTATTTAAGAAGAAAAGGCAGAATGACAAGATGGCCTGGAGAAACTTCAACACCTAGAGGTTCAGAAAAAGAGGAAAATCTAAAAGGGGGAAAAAAAATTGAAGAAAGGAGCACAGGGAGGAGACCCCACTACCACCAAAGAAAAAGAAAAAGAAAAAGGCATTTTAAATGCCCCAAAATGAAAGTTTCAAAAAGAGTTTAATTATCTTGCAAAGGAAATAATTTGTTGATAGTCTTTAGCAACACCAAAGCATAATTTTTATGCCATGGTTGTGCCTTATTATTCAAGCTTACAATCCCAAAGCAATTCATTTTAAACAAATCCTATACTTTTAAAATGTTGACAAACATGTTTTATAGAATAAAAAACATTTTATCATCTACTATTCTCTTACATATGAGGTTTGAATATACAAAGCACCTAATCTCCAAAACTCCCTATATAGTTCTATATGTATCTGTTTTGAAACTACACAGACGTTAAAAAATCTATGGAAAAATAACTACAAAAGATACTTAAAAGAGTAGATATGCTGGTAAGGAATCTTAGTAAGAAGAGGAAGGCAAGCAAAACCTGGAAAAAGAGTTATTAAAGTTTTGACTGCACTGACATTATCTATGTTACATAAATTGGTTGTTAAACAAGTTATATGTGTCATTTGCAGAGAAACTAGACAAAATGAATGCAGTTTGATAAATAATACTAATTGCTTTAAGTAAAAAAAGGCAAGCTCAATGGAACGTTAATATTTTTACAGTAATATGTAATAACACTTCTTATGAAGAAGTTAACATCAAGAAGCTTAGATCCAGAAGAATTCAGTTCAAATCTAACACAGGCAGAAAATTATGTAAAATTCCATCTCCAATTCAGCAAAAAGCAGGAAGGTATGGCTCATATAGTAGAGCATGAGCAAAACATGCAAGCTGAACAAGTGCAGGACCGACCCTGAGTTCCAAACAAAGGGGGAAAAATCACTTATACTTGCCTGTCTTTGTTTATATACTGTTTGCCGTTTTGTTTAAAAATACATATACTGCCAGGCACCCAGGCTTTAATGTCCCATATTTATAATCCTAACTACTCAGGAACTGAGATCTGAGAACTGAGGTTCAAAACCAGAATAGGAAGACAAATCCCATAATTTATCTCCAGTTAATCAGCAAAAAGCTGGAAGCAGAGATACAGTTCAACTGGTAGAGTGCCAGCCATTAACAAGCACTCAAAGGCCCAGAGTTCATGCCACAGTACTGGTAAACACACATATACAAAGTAATAAAAATAATACATACATACCTTGACCTTGCCATACTTTAGAAGGTATTACTAATATCTTATCACAGGATGCAGAAGGTTGGATCCACCGCCAAACTAGAAAATCTGCACCACCTATTCTTCGTGTTTCTGTGCGTACTCTAGACTCATTAGCAGCAAGGAAATCAACAGCTTTATCCCAGACTTTCTTCATTTTTTTCCTATTACATAAATAAAACAATAACTTTATTATCATGTTTGTCATCTTTTGCAGTATTAATAACTAAAGAGATGATTTTTGTCAACTCTGCCTGTTCCTATCATTAGAATTTGTTTAAGAGGTAATTTAAATGACTTTTCTTTCCCTGAAATTTACTGAATTTCAATCTCTTTTTCTAAGCCAGAAATGGTGATGATATGCTACTGGAATTAAGAATACTGTTTAGGATACAGCATCATCGTACATTTTCAAAAAGGCAGTTTTTACTTTATTGTCCATTTCTGTTTCTTTATCAAGATAAAACTAAAGAAAAAAAGATAAAAATGATGACAAAAATATGTAATATCAAAAATAACTTAGAAGTCCAATTATCTATGATGCCATTAAAATCAGGTGGGTAAAAGAGAATTTAGAAAAAAAATGATTCCAATATTAAAAATATGTACAGTAAGATCTGAGAAGAGATACAACTGTCAATGTATGTTTCAAGACACCAACATCCAAACTTATTTTAACTCACAGTGCTTTGAACACACCTGTCATGAGGCTGTATTAAGGAATCTCGCACATGTGGAATAGGCATGTAAGGCTGTAAGTCTTTATTTTCTTGGCAAGCTTCATTATGACTTCGCAAAACATCTGAAAATGGTGGACAACTTTACAAATGAATTAATCACAAAACATTATTTTGTAGCTTATTGTATAACTGTTCTAGAAAGAGTTTAAATTTTTTAGAAATATCATACCTATAATCTTTACCACCATGTCATACATCTGCCTTGTTTCCTCCTCTTCTTTTGTCCAGCGATACTTCATATAACGCAGAACAATACAAACCATCACTATACCTGCAATAGTTACATATTTATAGAGTTTTAAAAATCATGGTCAATGGCCTTCAGTAAAATTAAATACAATTTATATAATTAATGCTAATCTGTCCTAAATAATAAGTCTTCAATATACTGGATTAAATTAAATAATTATGTGTGTATATGTGTATGTATGTATATCCCATTAAAAATTAACATTAAAGATTTTCTAGTTTTGCCAAGCACTGGTGGCTCACACCTGTAATCCTAGCTACTCAGGAGGCTGAGATCTGAGGGTCACGGTTCAAAGCCAGCCCAAGCAGGAAAGTCCGTGAGACTCTTATCTCCAATAAACCACTGGTGCTATGGCTCAAGTAGTAGAGCACTAGCCTTGAGCTGAAGAGCTGAGGGACAGAATTCAAGGCCCACGACTGTCCAAAAAAAAAGACTTTCTAGTTTTCTATAAAAAAAAACTCACATTTCACTGATAAACACATATTCTAACTATTTAAAAACCAAAATATAGTTTCATTTCTGTTTTGTAGCATTAAACTGATAAATACATCTTAAAGTTAATTATTTTTAAAGCATAAAGAAAAAGCAAGAAATGAGTGTCCCCTAAATTCCTATCACCAATCAAAATTATAAACTCAATAATAATTTAATTATCAAAAATTATGCTGTTAAAAAAATGCTGTTAAAATATTTTACAACAGCTTAACCTATATTTGATTTTGATTCTATTTTCTTTTCTTTTTTTCTTTCTGTCATGGGGCTTGAACTCTGGGCCTGGGTGCTATCCCTCAGCTCTTCAGCTCAAGGTGAGTGCTCTACCACTTGAGTCACAGCACCACTTCCAGATAAGAGTCTCACAGACTTTCCTGCCCAGGCTGGCTTTGAACTGTGATCCTCAGATCTCAGCCTCCTCAGTAGCGAGGATTAAGGCATGAGCCACCGGCGCCTGGCTTCAGATTCTATTTTCTATACTTGCTCTTACTCTGGCATTTTTATGATGAGGTTTTATTCCTGTTTTTCCTTATATTACTATTTGAAACCCTTAGAAACAAATCTTCCAACTTTACTGCTATGGTTGAAATATGAAATGTCTTCCTCAAGTTCATGTGGCACTATAGCAGTGGCACTATTTGGAGAAGCTGTGGAAACTTAAGTTACAGAAAATAGTTCACTGGGATAGGTCCACTCTTCTCCCCTTTCCCCTTTTTCCCCTCCCCTCTCTCCATTCTTCCCCTTCCCCTCTCCCCCCTTTCCTTTTCTCACACAACTTCCTCCCCTCTCTCTACCCCTCTCCTCTCCTCTCTCTCCTAGCTCCTCTCTCAACTCTGGTATTTAGTGAATTCTCAATTCTGGTATTTAATGAAATTCTAGATAGTAACAAAACATCTTTCTTATCCTAACAACTTACCTAAGCATAACAATAATAACCTATGGGTTACAGTAATGAACGCACGTCGAAAACGACACCAGAAAGACATCTGTGGTCTTGTAGACTGTAAAAACCGCACATCAGTTATGTTTGTTAATTCATCCTCGGGACCATAACCAACACACCTATTTAAAATAATAAGGTAATAAAAATAAAACTTAAAATCAAAAATTACTTTTATAGTAGAAAATAGCCAATGTGAAAATCAAATTTACCTTATTCCAACATCTTTCCCATTTTCTAAAATCCACTGCAATGAAGTGTTAAATATACCCTCATACTCAGGACCTAAATCCTAATAAGAGAAATGTAGAAAATAAGCATTCTTGATAAAGCACATTCAACTGACTCTGTGTAAGTTGACTACAATGTATTTTGCTATATAATAAAAATGCATGATTCAGTTCTGAAATATTAATGCAAAAAGAAAGTCACCATTCTCACTATTCTAATATAATAATTGTTAAATTTTGCTATATTTTTGCTTTCATTGTATTTATAGATTTGAAAGGCATTTGGCTTTTGCAACAGTGGGGATGAATTCAGGGCCTCATACTTACACCTCGCACTTGTGTTATCAAACCATCCCAAGTCCTTTTGCTTTTAGGGTTTTGTTTTGATTTGTTTGTTTTTTCCAGATAGGGTCTCATGTTAAATTTGCCTTAGTTGGCACACAATCCTTGAACCACAATCCTGTTACCTTTGACTCTCCCGTATCTGGAGCTACAGGCATATGCCATCATGCCAGGCCACTAAAAGTTATTTTAAATAGTGTCAGTGTGACAAGTGAATTTGTGAATTTATTCATCTCCGCTCCCCATTCACTCAGTTTGTTAGCTTGGCTGGTACTCTACGCTTGAGCTATACTCTCAGCCCTGCTTTTGCTGGTTACTTTGGGGCTGCAGTCATGGGGATTTTTCCTTCCTGCGTTGGCTTCAAACCACAATCCTCCATATCTCAGCTTCCTGAATAACTAGGCTTTACAGGTGTGAGGCACCAGCATTTGACTGAATTAATCATTTTTAATAGAATATTATTTTCAAATGAACAAATGAAAACTAGATGCTTCATGATCTCAACAAGGGAATATATCAAATGTATCTGCTCAAAAATCCTAACTACAACCAAAAATTCAATTTTTACCTAAATACTACTTTTTTCACACTTTAAAAAAACTTGCATCCAATCAGATGCAGTGGCTAACATCTATTATCATAACTACTCAGGAGGCTGAGATCTGAGGATCACAGTTCAAAGCCAGCCTGGGCAGGAAGTCTGTAAAACTTATCTCCAATTAATCACCAGAAAACTAAAAGTGGAGCTGTGGTTCAAAGTGGTTAAGAGTGCTAACCTTGAGCACAAAAGCTCAGGGACAGCATCCAGGCCCTGAGTTCAAGCCCCACAACTGACAAGTTCAATATGTCAAAAATTTCTTCAGGTTTTGAAAAATAATTTAGGAGCAGACCCATCATTCATTACATCATTCCTCGGAAAAATTAGCATGCAATGCTTCCATTATTTAACATAACCAGTACGTATTTTCATGAAAAATTAAGCTTTGTACTTCCTAAATACTCCACCAGAGGGACCTCTTAACTTTCCACAAATAAGAGCAGGTTTACAAAATTAAACATCATAATAAATACTTGGATAATACTATATATCAACAGAATACTTATACAGAACATCCTACTCAAAAAGTATACATACACATTTTTCTTTTCTGTCTGTGCCAGTAACAGGGCTTGAACTACAGACCTGGGACTTTCATAACAGCTTTTTTCTAGTTAATTGGGAGTTGAGTCTCATATACATCTACTCAGTTGAATCTGAATCAGGATCTTATATCTCAGCTTCTTAAGTAGCTAGAATTATAGGCATAAGCCACTGGCACCCAGCCACAATACATATTTTTATCAAATAAAATTGAAACATTTTCTATATTTATATTATGCACACTGGAGAAGACAATAATCATATCAAAGACCTTTTAAGACCACCATAAAAGGAAACTAAAGGAGAAGGAAATGAAACAGAAAATTGAAAACATAACAACAATAAAACAAAGTTAATTCTACCAAAAAAAAAAAAAAAAATCAACCAGCTGGGGACCCGTAGTGGTTCACGCCTATAATCCTAGCTACTCAGAAGGCTGAGATCTAAGGATCACGGTTCAAAGCCAGCCAGGGCAGGAAAGACTGTGAGACTTTTATCTCCAATAAACCACCAGAAAACCGGAAGCGGTGCTGTGGCTCAAGTGGTAGAGTAGTAGCCTTGAGCTGAAGAGCTGAGGGACAGCACCCAAGACCAAAGTTCAAGCCGCAAGACCGACCAGAAAAAAAAAAATCAACTAAATTAAGAAAAAATAAAAGCAATTAGAATTTATTTCTAATTTTAGTATTTACTTTACTAAAAAGAATTGATACTCATCTCAAATTCTTCCCCAAAAAGCTGGAGGAAGACTTCCAAATCATTTTGATACTGTCATTACTCTTGTATCAAATAGACAAAGATACCACAAGTTAACTATGCACTAATATCTTTGATGAATACAAACACAATACTCTCAACAAAATCTTAGAACACTGAATTCAACTGTATATTAAGTGCACAGCACACATCATGACCCTGGGACTAGATTCATCATACAAAATAATATCATCACACATTAACAGAACAAAAGATAAAAATTACACCATTATTTGCTTTTAACCTTACTTATTACACATTATATTCAGGTATTAAGTCATCATTATGTATCCCATAAAGAGGTACAGATATTAAATCTTAATAAAAAATATAAACACACAATTTACCAAAATAGATGCAGAAAAAGTATTTGACAACAGTTAACACAATAGCAGGAACAATAACATCAAAAATCCTCAGAAGCTGGGTGCCAGTGGCTCATGCCACTGTCAGGAGGCTAAGATCTGAGCATAGTGGTTCAAAGCCAGTCCAGGCAAAAAAGTCCCCACGAGACTCATCTCCAATTAACCACCCAAAAACCAGAAGTGGCGCTGTGGCTCAAGTGGTAGAGCACTAGCCTTGAGCACAAACAGGCTCAGGGACAGCACCCAGGCCCTCAGTTCAAGCCCCACAATAATACAAAAGGGAAAAAAAACCACCAAAAAACAAAACTCAACAAATTAGGAATAAAAAGAAATTACCTCAATATAGTAAAGGCTGTATAGGAAAAGCCCCTACTTAACAACTATTCTCAACAGTAAAGAACTGAGAGTTCTTCCTGTAAGAGAAGGAAGGATGCCGACCATCACCAGTTCTATTCTGCACAGTATTACAAATTCTATGCAGAGTAAATACAGAAGAAAAAACAATTTAAGGCAATTAAATGAGAGAAAGTAAATTATCTCTTTACATAGCTGACAATATTATACATTTTAAAACCCTTAAGAATTCCACTGAAAAAGTTATTGGAGTGAATTAACTTAGAAGCAAAAACCAAATACAAAAAACTCAGTTGTGTTTCTACAACTGCAATAAACAATCTCAAAATGAAACTACAGCATTAAAAAGAATAAGACATAAGAATAAAGACTAATAATAAAGTTTAGAAATCAATTTTTAAAAGGAGGTGAAAGACTTCTATACAAGAAATAGAAAACATTGCTGAAAGAAATCACGACACAAAGAAAGAGAAATCCATACAAAAATCCATCAAAATCTCAGTGTCATTTACTGTAGAAGTAGGAAGGGAAAAAAGTCTTCAAAAACACAAATAGTCTTAAGTAGCCAAAACAATTAAGAGGGAGAAAAAAAAAAGTTGAGAGTCTAAAAAACTTCCAACTTAATAACTTATGACAAAATATAATAATCTAAACAGTACCTTATTGGTATAAAGATAGATATATTGGCCAAAGAACAGAACAGAACAGAAATAAAACCACTTATATTTAATCAATGAACTAAGACTACAGGATAGGAAAAGACATTCTCTGTAACAAATGATTTTAGGAAAACTGAACCCTCATCCTATAATCAACTCAAAATGGATTAAGATTTAACAAACATCTGAACCTATAAAAACTACTAGAAGAAAACAAAAGGAAAGGCTGGGTGCCAGTGGCACATGTCTGTAATCCTATCTATTCAAGAGGCTGAGATCTGAGGGCCATGATTCAAAGCTAGCACAGGCAGGAAAGTCCGTGAGACTCTAACCTCCAATTAATGCCCAGAAAACCGGAAGTGGTGCTGTGATTCAAAGTGGTAAAGTGCTATACTTAAGTAAAAAAGCCTAGGATAGCACCCAGGCTCTGAATTCAAGCACCACGACCAAGAAGAGAAAACAAAACAAAGGGGAAAACTTCATGGCACTAATAAGAGCAATGATTTCTTAAATTAATAGCAAAATTATAGGAAACAAAAGCAAAAGGAGAGGAACTTCATCAACCCAAATGGCCTATGGTCAGCAAAGGAAACAATAAGCAAAATGAAACAGAATATATGGAATGAAAATATTGGGAATCCATATAAAAAGGATATTAAATTGGCAAGCCATCTAAGAAAGGATTCAAAACGTAAGTAAGGAACTCCTGCAACCTAATAGCCAAATAAATAATCAGTTCTAAAAAAGACATTAAATGGCATTTCTCTGAAGACATTTAAACACCAACAGAGGAATAGATCAACAAAATGTGTATATAGCACATACCTACAATGGAATATTACTCAATCTTTAAGAAGTACTGTCATACATTATGAATAGTCTTCAATGACATTCTGTGAATTGAAATAAGCCAATCATACAAAGAAAAATATCACATGATTTTTAGCTACATGAGTATCTAATGTCAAACTGATAAAAAACATAAAGTAGAATGGATGATGTTAAGAGTTTGAGGAGAAAAATAGGTAATGTTGTACAATGAGTACATGGTTTCATTCATACAAAATAAGAATGTTCTGAGATTTGACATACAACAATGTGCACACAGATAACTAGTATATGACTAGGACAAGCAGAAAAGGTCAAAAGCTGTGTACATATGACCATATTAGACAATGTTAAGCGAAATGAACCCCAAGACAGGGACACGAGTGGTTTTTTTCTTGCTGTTGTTTTAATGTACTTATAATGCACCATGAGATTTTTTTGTTTGTTTCTTTGGTATGTTCCTCCCCCATGGTTTTCACTGTATTTGATGCTGGTGCCCTGCATCTTGTATATACACTTTTCTAATTTGGGGAGGGGGAGGGAAAAAACAAAGTGCTTAAATAGGGATACAGGTTGACCCATTGTAACAATGAGAGGTACAAGACATTATGTTGGAAATGAACTTTACAACTCGTGGGGGATAGGGAGGGAAGAGTTGGGAGGTGGGGAGGGAAGAGATGGTAGGGGAAAAACAAAGGAGTAGGTAACAATGCTCGATAGGAAATGTACTCATTACCTTACTCATGTAACTGTAACCCCTCTGTACACTATTTTTACAATAAAAAATGTATTTAAAACAATGTGCACATAGCAATACTATACTTCACACTATCTGATAGGGTAGGTTTACATGGGGTATTGTGTGTGTGTGTGTGTGTATGTGTGTGTGTGCGCGTGCACGGGTGAGTTTTTGTGCTCAAGGATAGGGTAGGTTTACATGGGGTATTGTGTGTGTGTGTGTGTGTGTGTGTGTGTGTGTGTGTGTGTGTGTGTGTGTGTGTGCGTGCGCGCGCGCGCGCGCGTGCGCGGGTGAGTTTTTGTGCTCAAGGATAGCAATCTACCATTTGAGCCTCAGTTCTACTTCCAGATTTGTTTTTTAGCAGGAGATAAAAGTCTCACAAGACTCTGATGGCCTGGCTGGCTTTGAAAGCAATCCTTAGATCTCAGCCTTGTAGCTAGGATTATAGGCATGAGCCACCAGTGCCCGGCCATGTAAGGTATTTTTTTACCACAATATTTTAGAAGAGAAATAAAAGGGAGAAATTATATTTGATTGACATGACTCATTCACACTGAATCCACACCAACCAGCACCTGAGGATGAACACTTCTACTTGCAAGTATTCACATCATTATTATTCTTATAGGATTGTACTGGCATAAAGTTTTCAAGTATGTTTTTCAAATTCCAGTTTCCCCTTTTAGAAAACAGAATGATACCCATCCATCTTTAACCTTCTAGTGCCTTTCTTTTTCATCTAGAATTTCCCAAAGATTACTAATTATAGTTTAATTCACCTGAAAATCATGATAATACCCTGAGATGAAAGGGATCTAGAACAGATCTTAAATAAATGATTGGACTCTCACTTGCTACTTAATGTGCTACTCACCCACCTCAAATTCCCTGTTATGACTATTCCACTTCCTTCCTTCTCGCTTTTCCTCCTCTCCTCTCCCTTCTCTTCTTTTCAAACAGGGTCTTCCTCAGTTGCTCAAGGTGGCCTCAAACTCCTAGGTTCCAAATTATCTACCTGCCTCAGCCTTCTAAGTAGCTGAAACTAAATGCATGTACCACTATGCCTGCTTTTATCAGTGTTTTACCCTTTTCAAATTAATGCACATTCCCTTAAACAGAATGCTTAAAAAAAAAAAGAGTAATTCTATTTTATCTTATCCATTTACATTACATCAAACAGTAATCCCAAGCTAGCTTTTTAACATCATAATTAAAATAAAAACAAAATACTTTTGATATAAGTAGCAATGTTTTATATAAAGTATAAAAATTAAGCCATTAACATTCTAATTTTATTGCTTACTTTTAAGTATGCAGCTGCCTCTTGGACAGAAAGTGTTCTGTGACTAGAACTGCCACATTCATGATCTCCTGGAAAGATTAACATATTATTAATTTTCAATCACTAAAATGCTGTACAACAGAAAAGAAATAAAATTTACATTTTAAGAAGTATATAATTATAGGTTATATTATTATACACAGTAAAGAAAGATATAGGAATTCTAATAATTAACCTAAATAAACAACAATCCTTACACAAACACTACCGTTAAATGAAAATCTACCTTATAAGCTTCTAACTTCATTGTAAGCCAATGTAAACACCATATCACGGTGATCAGCTACTTTCACAGACTTTGGCACACAGGAGGCCCTCTACAGATATTAATCCTAAAGAAAATGTCAACAAATTCTGTGCTAACTTCTACATCTATTCTGTTTCTGTTTTTCTATCTCTTGTTTCTCTTGACTTTGGCAGTATCAGGGTTTGGACTCGGGGCCTAGTGCTTGTTCAACTGGCCCTTTATACCACTGAAGCCATGCCACCAACATTTCTTTTCTTTCTTTTTTTTTTTTTTTTTGGGGGGGGGGGGGCTGGTCCTGGGGCTTGAACTCAGTGCCTGGGTGCTGTCTCTGTGCTTCCTTTGCTCAAGGCTAGCGCTCTACCACTTGAGCCACAACATCACTTCCGGCTTTTTGTGAGCAGTTTATTGAGATATGAGTCTCATAGACTTTGCTGCCAGAACTGTGATTCTCAGATCTTAGCCTTCTGAGGAGCTAGGATTACTGGTCTGAGCCACCTGCACCTCACTCAGCACAGCACATCTATTCTTAGAGCCAATAATTCAAGGACTCAAGTAATTTTGAACTTATTATTGTACTGAAACATTTTCATTTACAGAGTATAACTAAGCCTATCTTTAACAAGGCATCCTTAAAACATTGTTTTAACACAGAGCAACAGGAAAATTAGATAGAAGTTCCTAAGTATGACTTTGCTTCTACAATGCAATATGCTATAAAAATTTGGAAAACTACATTTGTCTTTTCTTGTAATCATTTTTAAGAAGAAAATTTAAAGCTTTTACTTTGGGCTAAATTTCTTCACATTGATCTTAAATTATAATTTTCCCTGTTCTGTTTCTTTCAAATATTTTAAGGATTTTCAACATAAAAGTACAATAATTAGGGGAAATTATTTATAAAATCTTCTATAATAAAGTAACCATGTTCTTCTTTATCATTTTTGCCCAAGAATTCAGATTTTAAGGTTGACTGTTATAAGAAGGGAAGAGTATCTTTTACTTAAACAAATCCTCAAGCTTTACAATGAATCCTCAGATAATCAGTTTCAGAAAATCTAGAAGTTAAACTATAGCACACGGCCAAATCCAGCCTGCCACTGGTTTTTATAAATGAGGTTTCATTGAAATACAGTCAAGCTCATTCATTTCCATAGTATATATGGTTATTTTCATGCTGTAATGGCAAAACTGATTAGTTGTGTCAGAGAGGCAATATAGCCCACAAAACATAAAGTATTTACTAACTGGTACTAAAGAAAAACCCTACCAAATCCTACTGTACAAAAAGAACTCTAATTTGCAATCCAGATTATGTTGACCTAGTGTGTTACAGACTATACATCATAAAACAATACTATAGGGACTGGGAAGGTGGCTCAGTGGTAGAGCGCTTGCCTTGCATACATGAGGCCCTGGGTTCGATTCCGCAGCACCACATAAGCAAAAAGAAAAACAAAAATCCGGAAGTGGCGCTGTGGCTCAAGTGGTAGAGTGCTAGCGTTGAGCTGAAGAGCTAAGGGACAGCGCCCAGGCCCAGAGTTCAGGCCCCACGACCAGACTCCCGCCCCCCCCCCCAAAAAAAAACCCATAAAACAATACTATAGAAATGGCTCTAAATGTCTGTATTAGCAAGGTCAGGATTTCCTAACATATTTCTAGGTGCTAAAGCATTAACAACTAAATGTCATGAGTTTGTAATACATAAATATAAAAGCCATTAAATCAATGTAAAACCAAGGCTTTTAAGGATCTAAATCAAGAAAATGAAAATAGGTAAGAGGATGGAGATTCTAAATACTTCTATTCAACCAGAGAAGAAGCGTCTCATTTATCTATTAGGTTTCTATAATCAGCTTTCCACAAAAGGATGCTATACAAAAAATACTGAAAAACTTCTCCCCCCCCCCCCCCCCCACTGGGGTTTGAAACAAGGGCCTTATGCTTTTTGTTCTTTTTGTTACTTTTTTTCAGATAGGGTTTCATATTTTTGCTTGGGGCTGGCTTCAGACTACAATCTTCCTACTTACATCTCCCACATAGCTGGGAGTATAGCTGGTTTTTGTTTAAATGGGGGAAGTCCTTAAATTTTAGGCCTATGCTAGCCTAAAACCACAATCTTCTGTTAATCTGTACCTCCCCCAAGTGGTTGAGATTCCAAGTGGGCACCACTAAAACCAGACTCCATTTTAATTTTCTTAGAACTGCTTATAAAAAGGTAATCCAAAGTCTCTTCTTCCAGATGTAAAATAACTTCAAAAGGTTAAGAAGGTAATGAACAGATATGCTGCCATGACAACTTACAGATGATAAACTTGATACTATTTTATGTACTCAAATTGTGCCGATACCTGAAAACTCTCAATACCTGAAAGCTCTCAATACTTAGTAAGAGCAAAATTTGAGGAAAATTCACAAATTCAATTAATCAGTCTGGGATAATATGTTTGCCCAAGAAAATGATGTCTACACAACCACCAAAGAAAATATGCACTGCTATATTTAATCCGAGATTTTAATTAGTTCATTGTTTATCCAAGTCAATTGAAATTTAAGCATTCAGAATTTTGTTACTATTTATTTTATTACTATTAATAAAGAAGTTGGCCTGGAGGAAGGGGAGATGTAGAGTGACTCTGATCAAGATACATTCTATACATATGTGGATATATCAAAATAAAACCTGCTTGATTCAACTAATTGATGATAACAAAAATACAGAGAAAATGGGAACTGGTAGTTCACACCTGCAATCCTAGCTACTAAGGAGGCTGAAACATGGAGTATCATGGCTCAAAGCTAGCCTAGGCAGAAAAAAAAAAAAATCAATGTGACTACGCCTCCAAAATAACCAATAAAAAGCAAGGCTGGAGGCATGGCTCAAGTAGTAGAGCAAGAAAGCTGAGTGAAAACAAGAAGCCCCAAGTTCAAGCCACAATACTGGAAAAAGAATGTTTGCAGGTGGGAAGGGAGGGAAGGATTTGGCTGATTTCAAAATGATACAATATATATGTATAATAATCTAATACACATATAATTTGTACATGATGAATATATATAATATCCAATACATATGTCAGATGGGAAAATATTTCACAAACACCACACTGTACTTAGGAAAGACTATTTCTACTGACATCACTTTTAACATGGCAATTAATTAAATTAATTAATTAATTAATTTAATTAATTAAATTAATTAAAATTAATTTTAAGAAACATCTTTAGAATATCAGTGCTAAGACAATTACCTGCAAGCTGTGCCAATCGATCATGAAGCTTGTATAACGTGTTCATCATAAGATTTTTTTCACTTTCCTAAAATTAAAAGAAGTTATTATGAAATATCTAATTACAAGAAAAATATCATTCTTATTTTTTTATGGGAAATGAAGATGATGTTAAGCGAAATGAAACCCAAGACAGGGACACAAGTGGTTTTTTTCTTTCTTGCTATTGTGTCTAACGTATTTATAAGGTACCATGTGATTTTTATTGCTTTGTATATCCCTCCCCCGCAGTATAACCCATTTTTACTGTATTTGATGTTGGTATAATTTCTGGAAGGGAAGGGAAAAAACAAATTGTTTAAATAGGGATACAGACTGACCCATTGCAACAATAAAACGTACAAGATGTTATGCCGAAAAACAAACTTTACAATTTAGGCACCGGGCGAGGGAAAAGGGGGTGGAACTGAGGAGGCAGGAGGGAAAGGATGGTAGGGGAAAAACAAAGGAGGAGGCAATAATGCTGGATAAGAAATGCACTTATTACCTTGCTCATGTAACTGTAACCCCTCTGTACATTATTTTCACAATAAAAAACTTAAAAAAAATAAAAAATGGGAAATGAACTTAAAATCATTGAAGCTACATGATCTGAAAGACAAATTTATTTTTAAATAGCCACTATATTTTAAGGAACTTTAATCTATAAATCTAAATGTTATCACTTTAAATGCTTTACTTTTTTTTTTGGTCGGTCGTGGGACTTAAACTCTGGACCTGGGAGCTGTCCCTCAGCTCTTCAGCTCAAGGCGAGCGCTCTACCACTTGAGCCACAGAGCCACTTCTGGCTTCTTCTGCTTATGTGGTGCTGAGGAATCGAACCCAGGGCCTCATGCACGCAAGGCAAACACTCTACCACTGAGCCACCTTCCCAGCCCGATGCTTTACTTTCTTGAAGACAAGAAATCTGCACTAAGATCAGGGCTAACAAAACAATAAACTCCCCTTACTACCAATATAATGTCAATCTCTCTACATACAAAGCATGCTTGTATAGATTGTTCTGGTAGACTCTTATGCATCAATGTTCCCTTCATGTTTGGTTTTAATTTAACTCAATGACATAAAACTAAAGGCATGAATATTATCAGGTTGACGTGAATCCTTTCCTGTGCTTTAAAAATAACCCTACATAAAAATGATCACTTATCAAAGTAAGGCAAAAATTCAAGGTAGTTAAAAAGCTAGAAAAACTGTTCTCAAGGATAAAAACAATTTATCAGATATATGAAGTGTTCTATTACAATTGCAAAGTATAGTTCAAATACAGAATAGGGAGAGAAGGAAAGACCCATTTGTGAAACAGAGACTATTACCGTTAGCTTTGAAGAAAGGATAGAAATTGACCAGCACTCCAGCCAGAAGGAATAGCATAAGCAAAAGCATGAAGACATGACAGCACTGGTTATATATACATAGCTGGCAGACTAGTTTGACTGTCAGTAAATTACTGAAAAAGTTGTTTGAATTAAATGCCAGAGAGCTCTAAATACTAGGAAAAAGAATTTGACCTCATTCTGAAAATTTGGGAGAAAGAAATTAAATACAACTTGTGCAAATAAGGAACAGTACTAGTATCAGAATATATGGGATGGCCTGAAAACAGAAAGGAGTCCAGAGAAGGGACTATGGGAATGGTATATATAGGCTATATGCCCTGCTAAGTAGTCTAAATCAATAATACCCTTAAAAGAGCAATTGCAATTAAGATAGACCAATATACATGATGAGCAAGGGTAAGAGACAGGGTTACAACTTATCATACTATCGGAAACTCATTTATTACCAGGGGTTGTGCTTTATTATTTCCTTCCTTCCTGATGTGCCTAATAAAACAGGATTTCTGGATGAATATGACCATGGACCAAATTTAGGAAAGTAACATTTTTATGTTTTATGATATATAATCATCCACTTATTTTTATTTATTCTGTATGTCCAAGGAAAGAGAACAAGTTTGTATTTGACAACTAACATGCTTTTATTAAATGAAGTTTTAATCAGTGACAATAGGAAAGAAAAATTCATCCAAGGCTCTAAGAACCTACAAAGTCTCTGCTTTAATGTTATATGACTGACAGAAATAAAAAAAACACTTATTCCTTCAGTTGACTACTACTTGCCCCTTTTTTTTTTTTTGGTCAGTCGTGGGGCTTGAACTCTGGGCCTGAGCGCTGTCCCTCAGGCTCTTCAGCTCAAGGCAAGTGCTCTACCACTTGATCCACAGGGCCACTTCCAGTTTTCTGGTGGTTTATTGGAGGTAACAGTTCACAGACTTTCCTGTCTGGGCTGGCTTTGAACAGTGATCCTCAGATCTGAGGATCTAGGATTACAGTTGTGAGTTAAAAGCGCCCGGTCTACTTGCCTTTTAATATTTTTCTAACCACTCCATTTTTCTTCCCCCACCCCAAGGCCTCCACTTCTATGTCAACAGGATTCTGAGTCAATTCAATTCTTATCTTCCCTATGACTAAAAAATCCAAACCATCAAAATCAAGACTTTAAAAGTAAATAAGCAGATTGGGAATGTGGCTTAGTGGTAGAGTGCTTGCCTAGCACACACAAAGCTCTGGGTTCAATTCCTCAGTACCATATAAACAGAAAAAGCTGGAAGTGGCACTGTGGCTCAAGTGGTAGAGTGTTAGCCTTGAGCAAAAAGAAGCTCAGGGATAGTGCCCAGTCTCTGAGTTCAAGCCCCAGTAAAAGGTACTGAAATCCAAGATTCTAAAAGCTATGTATTTGTGATACAGTACAGTACAAAAATGATTTTCAATCCAAGATACAATATGGGAGTTCCAATGATAGTGTAGTTTATGAAAAGCACGGTGAATCTGGTAAATCTAAGGAATTAAAGTATCTGAAAGTTTTGAAATATGTTTCTGATCCAGAAAAGAGGCTGATTTCATTTTTGTCTTATATTTTTTATATATTCTAGCCTCACTTTCCTTCTAAAAACAAAAAAAAATTTGAACATTTGGTATATCGTTAATGAACACAAGAGACCTAGAAATAAATCTTTTGGTACACAGATCTGGATTGGGTAATTACCAAAAAAAAAAAAAAAAAGGCCTCAAAACCTAACCAGACAAAGCTGGTTCTCATACAGCAAAATATATAGTGTTACAGTCTCATGCAAAAAATTTCAGCATTCATAGCCGGGCACCAGTGGCTGGTGTCTGTAATCCTAGCTACTCAGGAGGCTGAGATCTGAGGATCTCGGTAGGCAAGTCCGTTAGACTCTTATCTCCAATAAACCATTATAAAACCGGAAGTAGTGCTGTGGCTCAAGCGGTAGAGCTTGCCTTGAGCTGAAGAGCTGAGGGACAGCGCCCAGGCACAGAGTTCAAGCCCCATGACCAACCAAAAAAAAAAAAAATTCAGCATTCAAAAAACTCAACTATAATTTTTCCAAGAATTATTTTTCTGATGAAAATTTAATCATATTGATCTATACTATCATATAAGAGACAGATTCATTTATTTAATATTATATGAGACAAACTCATTTGGCCATCCAAATGGCCAAAGAATTATGGTCTAAGTAAAATTTTTATAAAACATTATTAAGTGTACAAATCAATGCTGAGAAAGAAATAGAAAGGTCTTGGCCCTACTCACATTAAGTATCAAGTATACAAAATTAACTATGAACCTGCAATTATACAAATCACTATTTAAAGTTACTTTCTTACTGTTGATGTGATGCTTCTTTCTCAGTTTGTCTCCTAACATTTCAACTTAAGTCTAACTATTCTATCACTCCGTTAAAGACCTATAAATAAATACACATTACAAGTTTTCAAGTAACCCTGCATTAAACAAAAATAATTTTATAATTTAAATTAACTACATTGTAAAGGTCTGTTCTAGTAAGACCCACATATTATGCTAAAGCAATCATTTCATTTTAGGAGTGAAAAAAGGGTGAGTGACTAACAAATTTTCCCATATGTTGTTTCCTTTAAATATTTCCCTCTTCTTTCCTCAACTAGCTTTCTCTTCAAGGACATTTTCCACTGTATTATATCTTTGGTTAAATAATGGATTGTAAACACTTAGGATGGTGCCTGGGACTGAATAAGCACTTATAGTAAATATGCCATTATCCTCATTATAATTACTACTATTAATCAGAGGTTCAGTACTTCAGTTTTGCCACCATAAAAATTAAACCAAAGAAAACCGTCTTGTTCAGTGGGTATACTGTATTAAATTTATAATACTGTGGCACTGTAGACTCAAAATTGCAACTAATAAAGTCAGCCTTTTAAAAACAAAGGTCACTATAGAGTATTGCTGAACACTGTTGCTTCATAATTCCACCTTGTGGATCTGATTACGTCATTATACATTACCTAGTACAATAATTTCCTAAGTTAATTGTTACTATAATAAAAAATACTAACAATGAATTGCGTACATACATATACACACACATATACTATATCTGAGCCATCAAAATGCTTCAACATCTTTATCTTCCAAGTTCCTACAATGTAGTAAATAAAAAATACTTTAAACAAATGTAGGTCTAAAATGGATTTTATAGTATCCTTTGAAAAGGAAAAGAATCTTAAATAAACATCAATATATTTCATTTCAATCCTTTGATGATTGAATAGCCCAACCAAAAAAAAAAAGACCCAAAAGGAAACAAAATGAAGACAGATGACAACAAATGCTAAGACAATCAACAATTTAAGACAACAGGTAGACTTTAAGTGTATGACTTAGATCTTACACAGAAGGCATGTCATTTGGTAAGACTTAGATCTTACACAGAAGGCATGCCATTTGGTAAGATAACGTCCATTTTACCTGGCAGTTAGCTTCACATTAATAAATAGTTCATCTTGTAGGAGAAAATCAATACCAGATTTAATTTTATATGTTAAAGAATACTCAAAATAAGAACATGTATTAAAACCAAAAGAATCTTTTGTAATTTTAGTTGTTAATCATCTTAAAGAGTTTTATTATATAAAATATCACATAAAATATCAGTATTGTGATCTTTTACTTACTTGTATATTTCCAAATGTTTCATCAAAGGGATTTTTTACTATCAAGGAAAAGAGAAAAAAAAGAACTATTAGCATAACTTAAATATAAAAATTTAACTCCTTCTAAATAAGTACTTAAAGTGGCAGCATGTACATTGCTAAAGCTGAATGAAAAAATGCAAAAACAAAATAAAAATAAAAAACTAAAGATAATAAAATTGGGGTAGTATTTTTATTTTCAGACCTCTATTTTTAGTTTACTTCATAACCATTGAAAGTAAGTTGTTCTGATGAGAGGCTCTAAACTCAAATCCAGCTTAGCAGCATCACTTTAAGCTAACATCTTCAAATGTAGTTTTTCTCTTTTATAAAGTAGGGATAACAATAATGCCCACCTTATATAGTTGTCAGGATTAAGTGAGATACATCTGTATGAAATTCTTAATATGTCTATCATTGATCATGGTCTAAGTATATACTACCAATTATTATTATTTTCCTTTAAATTGAAAAATTCATTTAAAATGCCAACTTAAAATGATTAAAAAATCTTCTTACTCAGGTACAGGTGGCTCACACCTGTAATCTTAGCTACTAAGGAGGATGAGATCTGAGGATCTCTGTTCAAAGCCAGGCCAGGCAGGAAATTCTGTGAGGCTCTTACCTACAAGTAACCACCAGAAAACCAGAATTGGAGCTATATATATAGTACCAGTAGTGGGTCTTGAACTCTGGGCCTTAGCACTGTCCCTCAGCTCTTCTGCTCAAGGCTAGTGCTCTACCCCTTGAGCTACAGCGCCATTTCCAGTTTTCTGGTGGTTTATTGGAGATAAGTGTTTCGCAGACTTTCCTGCCCAGGCTGGCTGTGAACCGCAATCCTCAGATCTCAGCCTCCAGAGTAGCTAGGATTACAGGTGTGAGCCACCTAAGTGTCTTTTTGTTCAAGGCTAGCCTCTGCCACTGGCTTTTTCTGTGTATGTAGTACTGAGGGATCAAACCCAGGGCTTCATGCATTATAGGCAAGCATGCTACCACTAAGCCACCTTCACAGCCGGATCAACATTTTTTAATACTTTATTTCTAACAAAGTATTAAATTATAAAGGAAAGATTTAATACTTTTTATACAATCTCCTTAACCCCATCTTCAAAATATAAACAAGTTTTAAACTAAATATGTATCATCTCTCATAGTTATTCAGACAGAATCTTCTCTCATCCCAAATATTTAAATTTTTTATGTATTTTATACAGACCATATACTTATAATCCAGGTTATTACTTAGACTAACTGATCTCACAAAGCAGTTCATACTGACCAGCTTTCCTTTCTGAGATGCTTTTCTATTTTTATTTGAGAAAACAGGAAGTCCCATAGGAACCAGGAATTGCCTGATTCTAAGAAAGCTCATGTGAGAGACCAGTTTAACAAGGTACAATTAAAAAAAAAAAAGGTTGGGGAAAAAATATATCCTGTTATCAAAAGAGATTTTGAGAATGGATTTCTAGCCATTTCTCTACACAACAAAAGGGTTTAAGTTTAAGGGGGAAAAAAATCCAACCAAAAAATATCAAAAGTCCTCAAAAGGGAATTAGGGAGAATAGATATCTTAAAGATGAAATAAGAATAGGAAAAATATGTTCAATAACATGTTTAATTTTAATATGAATTTTGGACTGCTTGACGTGAAGCTATATTGTGGTCAATATGCTACCCCAAATTCCTTACTAATGGGCTTTCAACAAATTGACCAAATAATATTTTATAAAACAGGAATTTTACTTATTCTTTATATGAAGTAGTAAGTATATAAAAGGCAGTTCTAAAAAAAAGTTTTAAAGTCTACAAAGAAAAGTCAGAGAAACACAATTTTATCAGATTTATACAAAATTTTTTTGTCAGCACTATCAACAGAAAACCGGCTCTTCAAGTATCTCTATGAAAGCATAACCAAATTTCTGTGACTAAACCGCTCTACTGGGTCTCACAACAGGGACCATGTGTTAGTCACATTCATACTAATGGAGCCAAGCACAGTATTAGACATATATTTAATGCTTGAAAATGTTAATTGTGCCATCTAGGCTAAATCTACTCTTCATATTTTACTGTGCATTATAACACTGTAAAGTAAATGGGTTATATTCTGCAAGAAGCTGGAGAAGAGTAGCAACTGGGAAGGTATGAGACTACAGAGAAAAAATCAAGAACAATAGTTCTGTTATAAAATATTGCTCTGCCCTTTTTTACCCTCTAGATTTCTGCCTCTAATATATTAGGCTGAGAGACTAAAATCTAAAAAGGCAAGAGGATACTTTCTGTCCTATGCATCTCTTTGAAAAAAATGTCCTAATGACACTGTCACCTTCTAAATTAACCGACATACCTGCTAAATTAATAACATAAGTAAAACATCCTTGAGGTTAGCGTTTTAGAAGGAAACTCCATCCAAAACCAACAAATCTAGTAAACTACAAGTCCTGACATTTCTGAAAATATTTTCATTTACCTAATTTTTCCTAGATCATTTTACTGTTTCTAAAAACAGTAAGAATAAACCTCATCCAATTTAAGTCTTAAATGGAAGTAAAAAATATTTCACCTGTAGTGAAAATATATAATATCACCTCCCAATTTGGCAACTGTACAAGGGAGAAAATGACAGTATTTCAAATGAAGCTACCAGCAAAACTTTGCAACTTCATTTTTATTGTTCAGCTTCTCCTCAAGAGACCAAAAATGGATTCTAGTTCTTATCAAATCCTAAAATTGTAATGCCAGGTGGCACTTCAAAATCTATTCTCCTATCTCCAATATTTTAGGTTAGGTTTCTAAACTTCTTCTCCAATATTTTAGTTTAGGTTACTGCAAACTTCAAATATATCGAACTTTTTCTTAATATTCTGACTTATCTTTACTTTAATCGAGTCAAATTACTAAAGTTCCTAAAATGTTTAAGTAGATCCCTCAAAATTCCAATTGTTTCCCACCACATTTAACAATACACATATTGATCCAAACCTCACCAATTTCAAAACCATTATTAGTTTTACTGAATCTTTTACCAAGTGTACTTTTTTACCATACTCTTAAGCTGAAATCAAATCTATAAGCCATTATGAATTCCAGATAAACAGAAACAATGAACACTTCTGTAGGCTGGTATACTTCAAAGCATATGTGTATATGAACCAAATAAATTGATGATCTGTCAGAAAGGCTTCATTTTGGGTTACTAATGACCAAAATGGGAAGTCTACACTGATCTAATTTATTCTCCCACAGCCCAGAAGAAACATAGTTTAACAAATATTTACTGTGCTTGTCTGTGGAAAGTTGATGATGAATAGTTACAAAAACAACAAAACATCCTTGCCCCTCATGAAATTTATGTTCTACAGTGGTTCAAAGAGACAATGAACAAACAAATATTAAAAACACACAGTATGCCATTTGATTTTATGTGCTTTGGACGGAGAACAAAAGGAATAATGCTTGATAGCTGAAGGAAGTAAGAAATTTTAAGTGAGATAGAAAGATAAAGTTCATATTCAGATTGCATTTGAATAGAGATCTAAGTTACCACAGGAAATATTCCATGTACATGTCTGAAATTTCAGATTTATCTAAAGACTGTAAATGTATATGAAGGTTGTAAGGTGGTACCAAGTCTAGACTGTTACTCCCAGAATGAAAGGAAGTCAATATAGCTAGAAAGAGTAGATGAAGAACAAGAAGTGAGAAATTAAATGAAATTGGTAAGATTTAAAGAGTCAGCAGGTACAGATTCTGTAGGGTTTTAAACATTTTTGTTTATTTCTCTAAGGGAGAAAACTGGAACCATCTGTTATCTGGCTCATGCTTTACAAGAAAGGCCCAAGTACTAAGGTATGGCCTACCCTCTGACTTAAACGTAAATTAATGAATGATCTGCTATTTACTGATCCAAGAAAACAGCAATTAGCACATTTATGATTTTTTCCTCCAGTTTTCTCAGCATCAACACAGAAAGTTTTAGTCTGTGCTTACATGTTTCTATTTTATGCATTTGGAAGACACAAAGCACAAAAATACTTCCTTCAGTACTGTCTGATCTTCATACCTGAAAGTCTTCATTCTCCTTTATTTTATCCCAAGGTCTCAGTTTACTGCTATGATAAAACCATGAAGAATGTGTACTACTTGTAACTTGATGTAAACTCACTCTTCACATTCTCATTCTCTTTATGACCACCATATATTATGATTTAATTATTTGGTGTTTGTTTCTTCCCCCAACAAAACTACAAAAATCCCTATCTATCTTAATACCTTGAAGATACTGGGTGATAAGGATATACAGAAACTTGAAGGCATACTAGTGTAACAATCTCATCAATGCCACAAAGCTACTGTAGTTCTGATCAGTGTACAATCCTCTCCACTGAAGAAAAATAAAGCTACATTACATTTACTGAGTTTTTGCTATGTGCCAGAGAAAATACTGTTGCCATATACTCCAAAAGTACCTAATTTATCCTCACAACACCTTTATGTTAAAGAAGTTATTCCACTTTTGTGAGCAGAGATATTGGCATATGAAAAGGTAAAGTAAATATAGTTTAATAAACTGGGATTCAAAAAGATAAGATTCAAGCTGAGCACCAGTGGTTCACACCTGTAATCCTAGCCACTTAGAGGCTGAGATCTAAGGATCGTGGTTCAAAGCAAGCCCAGGCGGGAACGTTAATGAGTCTCTCATCTCCAATTAGCCACCAGAAAATTGGAAGTGGTGCTGTAACTCAAGTGGTAGAGCGCTAGCCTTGAGCTGAAGAACTCAGGCAAGACCCATGACCAACCAAAAAATATCCCCAAAAAACAAAAAACATGTAAGATTCAAACTTCAGTATATCTGAGTCCTTCTCATTATAGAACAACCACAGAAAATGTTTTTCCTCCTGGTTTAAGGAAACTTTCCGATTTTTAATATCCTATGATATAAAATAACAATGAGTGGATGGGTCAGGGAAAACACAGTTGATAAAAAAAAAAAAATACTGGGCTGATTTTTAGATAAGGA